GGATACTCCCCCTCTCCTTCGGACGTCGCTGAGATGCTGGCTTGTCTTCTCAATCTCCTTCCCAGGTTCTTCAAACTTCACGAGAGGAAGTGCGAACCGATTATCATGACCGTCCCTCGGAAGGTGAGCCCGGTTCTTCTGGGTTTGTGCGATTTGACCGAGTTGCCCGAGGCAGGTCAACTGACCGGATTGACGCCTGGTTTTTTTTTTTTTTTGACTCCTCCTTTCCCAGTCTGACCTCTTTCAGGATGACCTCTATCCTGACACAGCTGGGCCCGAAGCCGCCCTGGAAGCCGAGGAGTGGTTTGAGGGGAAGAACGCCGACCCCCTCCTCATCTCCTTGAAACACGGCTACATCCCAGGGAAAAACCGGGACCTCAAGGTGGTCAAGAAGAACATCCTGGACAACAAGCCGGCTGCCAACAAGAAGAGTGATCTCATCAGCACCCCAAAGAAAGCGATGGACACCTCAAACCCTGTGAGTAGAAACACCCCAGGTCTCCAGCCCTTCCGCGCCAGAGGAAATTGCCCTGTGCTCAGACAGAAGTCTCTGGGCCTGGTGCAAATCCATCCCTCTTTGTCAAGCTGCGAGCTGGGTTGGGGGCTTCCCTTATCCCCCCCTCCCCATTCTGGGTCCTTCCCACCCCCACTTCAGGACCAACGGTTGTTGTCTCTTTCTCCTTGTCGCAGCAAAACGAAGCCAAATTGGAAGAAATCTTGAAGGAGCTCCGGTCGCTAAAAGACACAATCGCGCATCAGGACGAGCGCATTTCCAAATTAGAACAGCAGGTGGCGAAGATGGCCGTCTGAGAGCCAGCGGGGGAGGGGGGTCTACGGCAGGGGGAGGAGGAAGCAGGATTCGGACTGTGATCCACCTGCAGGGCTGCGGACAGGCACGGCCAGGGAGCCCAGCCCCGTCACGGCCGGTCAGCGGACGCCCGTGTCCAGCAGGGCAGCCAACCTTCTTGTGTCCTGACGTCTTTGTGGCCATTTCAGAACAGGCACTGCCGCCTCCTTCCTCGCCTTTGTCCATCGGTCGGAGGGTCAGCCATTCCACGGGGTCCGTAAGACGCCGGGATCCCTGCCGAACTTCCTAGCATCGGGGACCAAAATTACTTTGTTTGAAAACACACACACACACACGTACACGTACACGTGTTTTTTATTTTACTTTCGAGTTGCCAAAATCCAAAACTTTTCATTTTGTTTTTGTTTTTCCTTTCTAGCATTTTTTACAGTATTTTGTGTTTTTAATCTAAAAGGACGTTGTCTATTTGTGCCATCTGAACAACAACAAGTTGTGTATGCCTGTTTTACCTTTGAGCAACCGGGGCGGTCACCCCACTGCCGGGTCCGAAAGACCCAATTTTAACGTTTCCGCCCTCCCGATTTCTGGTTCCCCTGAAATCTGCGTGGATTTGAGGAGGGGGGAGGCAGCCTCGCTTTCCCACCCGCTGCCATTCCAAGGGACTGAACACCCCCCCTCCCACCTTCCCCAGAGCCCCCTCTCTCAAATCTGGGGAGCCTTTATTCAAACATTTGTTGAGCTTTGGTTTAATCTTAATCGTGTCAAACTTTGGCATGTTGTGATTGCTGATTTCTGGGTCCATGTTTCCTGCAGATGTTTGTTCTATTTATCATCCAGGTGTTACAAGGTTATAAAAAAAAATATGATGAATTGGGGACATTAAGGACAAATGCACTAAATTTTGCAAGCTGTTGGAAAGCTCTTTGAAGTTATTTATGCGTACCCCCCTCCCTCCCTTGCTCTGCTCCAAGCTTGGCTGACCTGCAAACCCTCCTAGTTCCCCATCCTGCCAGCAAAAGGGCCTCGGCTGCCAGAGGCCTCCTGGGCAGCCAAATGGCCTCAGGTGCCCCCACGATGCAAGCATGAGCCCAGGGCTTTGGGGCAAGTCCAGCCACCCCTGCAGCTGCTCCATGGGCAGTCTGGAGAGAGCCCCCCCCCGCAAAGGGACTTCCCAGCCTAAGTGAGGGTTGACCGGGGAGGGTCTCTATCCTCTCCAGAGGCTCTTACAGCTTCCCTGCTGGCTGCAGAAGGGGTCTTCTCCGTTCCTTCTGGTGGTCTCAATGCAGCAGAGATGGGGGGGCTTGTCTGGGACACCCCAACCTTCCCATCAAGCCGTCTTCCTGAATTGCTGCTGCAGGGGAGCGGATTCGGGATTTCCCCCTTTCCCTCAGAGGGGGCTCCAGGCTTCACCAGTCCCTTTGGTGGGATCTGGGAGACACCCGGGGTGTTTGCAGAAGTAGCTGCTGCAACTGAGGGTGACTCTCCCATCAGGTGGAACAGTGCCCTGGCTGCTGCTTTCTTCTCCAGAATGAAAAGAGGGGTGAAGTCCCTGCCTTTCCTCCCCCCCTCCCTCCCTCCCCAGGTCTCCTCTTGCCAAGCCTCCCACCCAGAGTCCTCCAGTCTTGCAGAGGCCTTCTCAAAGCTCCTGGTCTTGCTCAGAAGTGACTCCTCAGCGGTTCCCACGGGGCGAGAGCCACGTGCCACGGTGCTGTGTACAGTGCTGTGTACTGTACTCAAGGGAAAAGATTGCAATCTGGGTGTGGGTGTGTGTGTGCCTCGGATGGGCCCCAGAGACAAAACGCCAGAGGGATTCTGGGCATGGGATGCTGTCAAAAGCCAGAGACCTTTCAGGAAAGATCCTCATGGGGACTAGAAGCCTGTCATACAGCTTTGAACGTGGGGAATGTTACAGATAGATTTGGGCACTTTAAAGGCTAATCCATGGATGAATATTTCTAACGTCCTGTGGCTTTTCTTCAGCCAACAATCCTCTTCCTTCTGGGCCTTCAGAGAGTCTCCAGGGGCTCAAAGTCCTAAGTCTGGAAGGTAGTTGGCCTCTTTGCTCCAAGCATGATGTGCCTACCATGTTCACACACACCCTCCACACACATGCGCCTCTTGCTGGCTGCTGCTACACAGCTTCACGAGGGGTTAAAGTCCCATGAGAAGAGCTGCCTTTCTCATCCACTGTTTTGGGAGGGTCCCTAAAGTGGCCGTTAAAAAGCCCAGAAAAGGTTAGAGTGCAAATTTTGCGATGCCTCCGTCCATCCGTGTGGGAAAAGAAGTCATGTGGACAGATAAGGGGACCTTTGCAGGAAACGGGCTGGAGGCAGCAGACCCAGCGAGATAAGATAGTCGTAGAACAATGATACGAAGGAGTGGGAAAGTTAGAGAATGTTGATGGTGGTGGTGGTTAATTCTGAGTTGGGGGAGTCTGGAGGAGTCTGGTTCCCTTGTGCTAGAGATGGGAGAAGAGTTTTCAAAGGGCCTCATTATTTACACTGCCAAACTATTAAGCTTTTCCAACTTGGCATCTTCTGGACTGCAGCCCCCAAGAGTCCCAGCCAACACCAAGAATTCTGGGAATTGTAGTCTCGAAGATGGAGAAAGCTGTTATGTACATCAGGTCAGCTTCACCTTTGGGCATGTTTTGTGTTTACAGTCAGCAGACGTTTGGAGACCAGGGGTGGGCAATTATGGCCCCTTTACAACCTGTGGAGTTCAATTCCCAGAATTCCTGAGCCAGCTAGGCTGGCTCAGGAATTCTGGGAGTTGTAGTCCACAGATCGTAAAGGGGCCATAGTTGCATGTCCCTATTGAAGACGGAAGGAACGCGATCATTCTCTTTCAGAAATGTGCGTGCTTTCTTCTGCCCCAACAGTATTAGTTTTCCTGGTGTGGTTCTTGCAGGGCGGGTGAAAGAAGCTTCCTGGGCCGTTGGTGTTTCATTTAACTGGACGGGTGACACTGGACCCGCAGCTTCTTGCTCTCTAGACCGTGGCCTCCGAGGGGATGTGCTGGTAGAAGACCTCCCGTTGTGTCATGTCCAAATACTTGCTTCCAATTTCAAACGATTAAAAGAAAATTAATTACCAAACCTGCATTGTGCACCAGCTTGCTCTGGAAGAGGCTACTGGGAGCCCTGGGGGTGACTGGTTGGTTCGCCAAACGTGTAACTCAAGCCATCAAAACGTGTTCCCTTTTGAGGCTGGCCAAGGAAGACCCAGTTCCAGGGTGGGCTTCTGCTACAGTGCAGAGTTGGCCTGTCCTGCTGAGGCTGAGACCCCACGTTAGGACGCCCGTTTTGACCAAACACCTTTCTGCATCTCAAGATGGACAAGCTTGAGAACACCGTGTGTTCTTCCCCTGGAAGAAGATCTCACTCAGCTCCCAGAAGTAGTTCCTCCTCCTCCTCCTCCTCCTCCTCCTCC